ACGAACAGTCTGGCACAGCCTTTTTTTTCTGGACTGGAATATTGTGAACACGAACACACACACACACACACACACACACACACACACACACACACACACACACACACATGCACGCACGCACGCCCAAACACACCATATATACCTTTCTCGGGCTGTCAATCGATAAAAAGGAGGCCAATCCAATCGATAAAAGGGAAGTGCCGATATAACTTACCGAATATGATGACAACCGACTGAATTGGCTTATTCGACTGGTTGCGGGAGTGAGCACCATCTTCCACCGTTCCTTGCAGGCTATCTTGGTTGTCCATTTGTCTAGGGATGTCAATCCGGATATGGCGCGGACTAGACACGTGGCAGCAAATGTCGGCCACCCTTTCTGTTAGACGAAGCTGACTGACAAATTGAACGCTCCCACCGCAGCCAGCGGGCGCCGGCTTCTTCTTAGCCAATTGTGAGACGCAAAGCGAAAAGAGAGCAATGGCGGAAGACAGCGGGGAAAGCGATAGTGGGGGACGGAGGAAGAGACCTACAGCGGCGGCGCGACCACGCGGTAGGCTAGGACAGCCGCGCCACATGTCCCGCGACAAAGCAGAGGATGGAAAAGAGGAAACTCCACGCGCGCGAGCGTGTGCGCTCATTTGAAGTATGAAGGAATAAAGAGATGGCGGCAAGGATAATGAGAGGGATGTTGCTGCACCCATGCCACGTAGCATAGCCGTAGCATAGCTGCAGAGAGCGCGCCCGCGCGCTCACAGCCGGGGCTGGGTCCTACCAGCCAGCGTTGTCGTTGAAGTTGGCGGAAGCTGCCGAATTGGGCGATTGACCGATGGGCCTGGCTCAGTTGGTGTACCCATAACCTTCTGCATACCCGCAATCAGATGAACAGAATAATTAAAATCTGAATCCATCGACCCTGTCAGGTCAATGATGACATATTTGAACCAACCGACCCCTTCTGCGTATTCCAATATGCAAGGATGTGCTACGAGGACATCCACTCTATCAGAGGTCCGCAGGACTATGTGAACACCGATCTTACAAGGTCCTCAGACGTGTGGGAAGACATCATGGTGTCCTCAGACATGTGGGAAAACATCATGGTGTCCTCAGACATGTGGGAAAACACCATGGTGAGACTGCAGACTGCAGCGAAGCTCGACCTTGACAGACCGCTCACCTTGGAAGAAGTGACACAGACATTGAAGTCAACAAGAGAGGCAAATCCCGTGGAGTGGATGGCCTTTCGGTGGAATTTTAACCTGCAAATTGGGGTGTGTTTGGACTCTATCCACCTGCAAATTGGGGTGTGTTTGGACTGTATAAGGAGAGATGACTTTTAGGCTGAAGTTAGGACCTGGCGCCCAATATCACTTCTTAACATCTCATACAAGATCCTGCCCAATATCACTTATGAACATCTCATACAAGATCCTGGCGAAGTCTCTGGCTCGAGATACCTTCCAGAGCTGGCGGAGAAGGACCAGGGGGCCTTCGTACAGGGATGTTCAATTTTCAACAACATCGTAACTGCCATTGAGACTCTAGAGGTGGTTCGGGGTGAAAACGTGGAGATGGTCATCCTTCTTCTTGATTTGGAAGAGGCCTATGACAAAGTGGGTTGGACCTTCCTCCTAACCACCTCAAGGGAATGGGCTTCGGGGAGAGCTTTTGTGCTCGGATTATCGTCATGTACATGTACTCCTCGTCGGCGGTAATGATCAGTGGTCAACTTTTTGCTCCTTTCTCACTCGCAAGATCACTCGAACAAGAATGTCCACTTGCCTGTTTCCTATTACAGCTAAAGGTTCTGGTTAACAAGATTCTTTCATCACCCTAACATCAGCCTGCAACTTCACACTGGTGAGAGTGCAGTGAAGGCCTTGGCGAATGACCTATTTGTGATCAGCGAGAACACGGAGACTTCCCTGAAGGCACTGAAGGTAGTAACGTATGAGCACTCTCTCCTGTCATAAACAATTGGCGCAAGTCAAACCTGCCCAATTTATCCTGAAGGTTGAATTGGGAATGAAACGTGTGGAAAATGGGGAAGCGGAAAAGTTTTTGGAAGTGTTGTTTAGGCGTTAAATTGAAGTATCAACTCAGGGTCTGTTGTTGGAACAGAGTATCTTCACATGTCTTGAGATGTGGGGCACAGCGTGACATCTGTCAATTATGGGGACAACCCTGAGAACCCACGTCGCCCTCTTTTCTACAATGTGGTTTGTCACCACAGTGAGGGAACTGGCTGCTAGGGTGGTGAAGGCTACTGAAGATTCGAGTTGGTTTCCCACTTCATATGAAACCAGATGTTCGGAACGCTGAGGCATTCATGTTTAAAGTGGCGCTATATACCTTATCATTCCCTCGTACCAAGGGGAAACTCGGATTATTGGACCCAACACAAAAAAATCAGGCCCAACTATGAGAGTGGATTGCGAAGGTGGCCAAATTGAGCTCCCATGATCATAAAATACCTCTAGCAAAATATTTTGATCTGAGAATGGGGACTAACCAGACCAAAAGATGTTTAGACCTGCTTTTTCATGCCCTCGTTTACAAAGAAGAAAACCAGGTCAGGTTTTTGGGAACGTATCCGGAAAGCATGAAATAAGCTTTCACTCGATGTGCGGCAACCTCCAACCACTAAGGAAAAAAATCACGGTGCAACTTGTGTTTGACAACATGGTTATATTGGAGCAGGATGGGTCATCGTTTGTCGCATATGGTATGTACCTTTACGCAAGCATGGTTCCAATGGGGTGTAGTTCGGATTGAAGTTCTATGGTTTCCGGTTTTGGGAGATTGAAATCACTATCTAAGGTGAAATCGAAACTCCAAGGTTTGCAGCGAGTGGAACAACACTGGAGAACAGATCATCGAAGTTATCTCTCAAGTTTGGTTGGTGTTGCTGGGTGCATAAGGTCTCGACCCTCTAGGCACATGGTACATCTCATATATCGAGGTTGAAGGACATGTACCGTGGAAGGTGCTTGAGATCATTCCCAGGGGTTTCAGGAGGGTGGAACACTAGCGTTGTGAAGGGTCACCAAACACCCTATCCTTGGTGGAGGAAACTATCCTGATATGGGGCAATCTAGCAGAGGTACATGTGGCTAAGAGCCTTAGCAGAAGGTCGCTCACATGCCAGTGTCATGTCATGGATAGACAGAGTGTCTCTTCGCCAACTATGCATGGACCCATTGGCTTGGGGCAGGAAGGCAAATGCAAAGGATGAACCCACCTTGAGACTTCTGGACTATTTAGTGTCACAGGGGTATCAACAGTCCAACAGAAAGTTGAAAACTCCTACTCAGGTAGCTATTCCATATTGGCAAATGATATATAATGAGGATCTGTCGGATGCAGAATCAAAGTTTGAAAAACTTTGGAAGATCTTAGTTTCTCTTTCAAACGGTAAACAAGTAAGTAGTATCTGGTCACTTTCTCTTATGATGTTGCTGAGCAAAGGCATGAAAGTTAACTTAGGTTGTACGAGGTGCAGATGCTCATTTGAGTCGACCCGCCACCTGTTGTGGGAATGCCTCGCTTCAAAGCGTGTTTGCAACTGTTGGACACATCATTGGAGGGTTTTTGGTAGTCAGTAAGTTTTTTTGGACGAGAAATCGGTCCTTTTGGGTTTCCTCCCTCCAAATGTAGATGGACATAAGGAGTGTGGCTATATTGCTCATGTGGTGAGAGGTTTGAGTTGTGAAATCATCTAGTATCACTTGTTGTAGGAGTGTCCCGCTTCAAAATGTGTTTGAAACTAATTGACACATCATTGGAGGAAATTTGGCGGTCAAAAAGTTTTTCAGAGCGAGAAATTGATACTGCTAGATTTCCTCCCTCCAAATGTAGATGGATATTGAGGGTGGGGCTACGTTGTTCATGTGGTAAAAGGTCCGATATGTGAAACCATCTTGTTTTACACGGACAAGTTAAGGTTCCAGCAGAGACTTTTCTCAGACCAGGAGATTACAAGTTGCATCAAACAAGGATTAAGACAGTCAATCTACGTGGATCGGAGGAGGAAAGCAAAAACAGGCAAGGGGAGTCGGAAGTAGGTTCGTTGGTTCCTTCATACAGGAGCGAAGAATCATCAACCGACAGTATTTCATTGAAAGAAAGACATAGTGTCTTGACCCGAAAAAAATGTATGTATGTTACATACAAATACAATGGGGTGTATTGCAACGTACGTACGTTGCGTTCGAATACAACGTACGTATGTTGTACAACAAGTTTTATGGTACAACTTTGCAAAAGTTTGTAGTACAAAACATCGTTTTTTTTTTCTCGTGAAGTTGGTTAAGAATTTTTCAAAAATCCTACGACAAAAGTTGCTTGTATTGCAATTTCATACAACATAATTATTTTTTTAATTATCTTTTAAATTTTAAAATTCTTAAAAAATCATAATACACTGCAAAATGTCCTCAACATATATATATATATATATATATCGTCACAAACAGAACTGCCCGGTAAAACCGTAGGCAGAGAGAGAGAAGAGGACAACAAACGAGGGGCTGTGACAAACTGTTTCGTCGAAGTTTCACCGAAATATATATATACATATATATATATATATATTTGGTATGAATTTCGACATGACCCTCAGACAAAAGTTATTTACACTGCAATGTTGTACAACTTTCTTTTTTTTGGAATTTTTTGATTTTTTTTATAATTAAATTTAACAAAAAATCTAGGCTACCGGGGTGGTATCGGATCACTTGCCCAACCAGGAATATATATATATATATATGCAGGGTTACCTGACCAAACGTTCGGGGGCCCCCGGGCTGGCCCCCGAACGTTCGGGCGTTCGGGGTCCCGTTCGGGGGCCGAACTCCTCAAGGTTCAGCCCCCGCCAAAAACTATTTCGGGGCCTAAAAACAAGTTTTTTTTTCTGAATTTGTTTTTGTGGGTTCTCTATGATGTAAACAACACGTCTATAAATTTGAAGTCATTCTGCTAAGCTAAAAAAACATTAAAAATCGTCAAAGATGGGGGTGTCAAAACGTGCTCGCCCACTCACTATTTTGTTTTTCTCACTTTTAACTTTTTGTTTTCACTTTCTTTCGGGGTCTAAACAATTTTATTATTTTTTTAAAACTTTTTAATGAGTTATTGATTATGTAAACTACATATCTGTAAATTTTCAGGGCATTTGTCAATGCCAAAAAATAATTAAAAATCGGCAAAGATGGCGGTGTCGAAAAGGTGTTGGCACACTCACTCATTTTAATTCTCTTTTTATTTTTTTTTATTTTTATCAGAGTGTTTATTTTCTGTATTGGATTTTTAATTCAAAGTTGGTAAAGAATTTGGATGTAGTGCCCAGGAAAATTTTGTTTAGTTTATTTGTCTCCATAACATAGTTTTTTTCTTTTTTTTTTTCCTTTTTTTTTTTGGCCGCGTTCGGCTCGAACGGCCGAACGCCTCTCGAAGGGGTCCCGTACGTTCGGGCGTTCGGGTTCGGGCGTTCGGCCCGTCCCGAACGCCGGTAACCCTGTAAATATATATAAACTTTATTTTTTATTTTTTATTTGGTAAAAAAAAAAATTGATATGACCCTGAGGCAAAGTTCTTCACTTTATTTTTTTGCATAACATAATGTTTTTCGGGAGTTTATTTATTTATTTTGGTAGGACCTTCCCTGGTCCTTGCACGGTCGGGCCGTCTGAGAAAATAGGGTGACCCGGGCGGGCCGACTGGTAGCCTAGCAAAACATTGAAT